AGGTGAACATCTACTCTCCTTGGCAAGTGAGGCTCTCTACTTGTGTGGTTTGCAAGCACATTAAAAACGATGAACTAAGCAAGTCTATAGCTTCTGAAAAGCTAATTCTTTTAACTGCTTAGATTATATTTATATCTTGGCAGATCTTTGCTGTTGCTACTGTTCAATGCCAGTACTCCATATTAGCTATAAAACCCAAATGTCATTTCTAAATGGAAAAAATGGAACAAATGAAAACGTTTGCTTTGGACTTCACTGGGTTCGATCTCCATAAGGGACAGTCTCTGAGTGAGCCTCGCCGCAAGGGCCCTACTTGAATCTAGGTGAATAACGGCAGGAACGCCCAAGCTTATCTCAGTCATCCTGGATGACTACAGGAAGCATGTTTTTAAAAGGAAATTAAGTTTAATTGGGTCTAAAAAAACTAATAAAGTCTCATTCTAAAAATTTATGACTTTCATTCTACCATAAAAACTTTTTATTTTCCAATAATCTCATTTTAAAAAAACTTGGTGTCACTGCTACTAATTTTTTCTAATATTAATATTACGTTTAGCAGGCAAAAAAAAAAAAAAAGACCAGCAGTGAACAATGATAAAGGGATTGGAAAATAATGGACAATACTATTGGGATGGTGTTGATGATTTGCCTTCTTTTAAAGCCCCGGTAATGTTACTGAAGTCTGAGATCAAAACATTTTCTTCATATTCTGGATATATAATTCTTTAGAATGGTATTTTCACAGAAAATCTCCTCGTTCATGTGACTTTCCTTATGATAAACAGGACAATATAAAGCAGGTTAATGTCCTCAAGTGGCGGTCAGGCTTGTACAGAATTACCTCACTGTGGGAGCTGTGATGACACCAATGAAGAGAATTCTACACCAACTTAATGGATGGCTGGCTTGGAACACAAAGATATGCTTCAAGAAGAAGGTATTTAACTCGGTCAGCTGAAAAAAGGAGAAATTAGTCAAGTCATGCTAAGTTATAATCACATATTCCTAAAACAGACATTCTACAACGAAAAATAAATGATATGTTCAAAGCATTTTCAGAAAATGGATGGGGTCTTCCAAGGGTTGCTGTTCAAACTTGCTAACCGCCAGTATCACATGGGCACAGACGAACTGGGGCCTAGCGGGAGGTTCCGGGGTGGTGGGAGGGGCATACGGGGGCTCAGGGCATCAGCTATTTGTCATGTTTTTTGGTTTGCATGATTGTCACTTGGCTCATGTGTGTGACCCTCTGGGATAATAAGGAGAGAAATGCTCAGAGCCTACAGAAATCGTGAAAACAAACACATGCCGTGGAACACCTATGCAGCCTTCCAGGAATCAGGCCAGCTCTAAAAGAAATCCAACTGTAGATAAGAAAGCTCTTTAACAACCAAAGAAGCTTGAGATGCACCCTGAGAGATGACCATGTACTGGTACAGCACATGCCTGGGACTGGCACGGAGCAGATCCTCAACCAAAGTTACCTCTTAAAAGGAGGTGTGAAGGGTTGGCCCAAGTGTCACCGAGGGGCAGTGGTACTTCTCCCTGAGGTTAGCACCCTCCTGAAGTTCATCATGATGAGTCCCAGGCAGCACAAAAGACACTGTGGCTGGGACGTGGCTGCTCTCTGCCCAGAGCTGGCTCCAGATCCCAAACAGGGGTCAGAAACTACAGAAAAGTCACTGTGCTTGCAGAACACACCACACAGACTGACAGGTTCACTTCAACTACATAAAGTGTGTGTTGTTTTCCCACAGCGCTGACTTCAAGAATATAAAATAAAAAATAGTCCACTTCCAGGTGGTTCCAGTCTAGGAGCATGATTCTATCTCTCCTTGAAAAATCCAATCATTCCTCCTTTTAGAGAAAAAAAATCTTCATGCTTTCTATGACATTGGCTCTAATAAGGCAAAGCTTCATCCTAATCCATTCACAGTTCCATTTTTATAAATACTGACTTCTCCAAACCAAGATGATTATTTAGCTCTTCACATATACTTCTGTATACATAAACTCCTCTTATTTATTTATTTTTTTTGAGACAGAGTCTCACTCTGTTGCCCAGGCTACAGCGTAGTGGCATCATTGTAGCTCACTGAAACCTCAAGCTCCTGGGCTCAAGAGATCCTCCTGCCTCAGCCTCCTGAATAGCTGGGACCACAGAAGCGTGCCACCATGCCTGGCTAATTTTTCTATTTTTTAGAGAGACAGGGTCTGGCTATGTTGCTCAGGCTGGTCTCGAACTCCTGGGCTTAAAAGATCCTCCTGCCTCAGCCTCCCAAAGAGCAGGATTACGGGTGTGAACCACTGCGCCCGGCCAAACTCCTGTTATTGAGATAGGTATTATTATTCTCCACGTATGGGCAAGGAAGATTGCCTGTCTTAAAAGTGACATCTGCTGATTTTTCTTCCTTATGTTGGGAGTATTTTCTGTTTATTGTCCAAAATGTAATATCTCTGATGATTCTGAAAGACTCTTTAGGCAAAAGCTGGTTTCCCTTGGCTAGTCTCCAAAAGTTGTGAAACAACCCGGGCATGGGAGGATCAACAAAAAAGACTGTCTCTAGAAAACAGAGATGTATGATAATCTTTGCCAAGACCCCCGGTGGTATGAATTACTTCCATCATGAAATGGCCTACCTGGACAACTCTCTGGAGGACTGACATCACCAAAAGTCTCCAATTCCTCACAGGCAGTAGAAAGCTTATTTAGAGCTCTACAAACTACCCAAAGGACTAATAGCTGAGGTACAATTTTAACCAATAGACACTGAATTACGAATGTAAGAAAAGCCTTCTCATTTGTTCCTTTGGTCTTGAAAATGATCATTCTAAAAGGCAATCCAACGCTTAACTTACTGGATGATGGATGATAAACATGATTTTTTTTTACAGAATCGAATCTCTTTCTAATTTGTAATTCAAAGATCCATATTTTAATATGTCTTTATGATAAAGCAAGACATTAGGCATAAGTAACATCACTTTGTTTAATTATCCTACATGCCAGCTGCATAATATTATATCTTCTAAAGCATCTAGCTGGTAAGCAATGGAAACTAGCATTAACCCTAAATTCCTGAAAGGTTGCTACTTTGTTTTTTGTTTTGCCCCCTGCTTCTGGGCACCTTAAAAAATACCTGCCAGATGATCATGAAAAGGTATATTCCAGCCACTCTCTGAAAAGAAGATTTGGGGTCAAACCATCGAACATAGGTCCAGCTAGCAGGAGTGAACTGCAGCACAGCTCTCTTGATCTTCCCAGTGGTTGTGTGAATGTCCCTGCAAGACCAGAATGGCTCCAGTGAAAATCCAAAGAGATAAAGAGGAAGGCCGGGGTGGGGGTCGGGGGGAGGACGGGACAAACGAAAAATAAGAAAAAACCCCTGTGCATTGATGATTTTATAATGAATGTTCAGAAAAAATAGATTGCTTTTCATTTGAATAGTCTCTCAAAGGTCTCTTCTCCCCATTCACAGGTGAAGTGGGTGGCAGAAGCACACTGGATAAGGAATTTCATTGACAGGCACCTCGCAGCACTGTCATCGCAGTCAGAGATCAGGGTATAGCTGAGCCAGGAGAGGTCTTCATCTGTGAATTTGTGACAAAAGCAGTGAAGCATTTAAAGACAACCTGGAATGAGCCCAGGAAGGGTGCAGATGCCAGCTGGGAGGCCATCCCTTCCCACTGCTCACCTCCCAAAACGGCACCTGCCCTGTGTTCTTGAGATCACCTACATCACTTCTTTACCCAATTTCTTTCCCAGAGAAGTGAACAGTTTGGGTTGATGAACAGTGACATTTAACCTTCCTTCATTTTAATCCCAGAAATCATTCAATTAAAAGTTTCATACTCCCATGGTAGAAGCACACAGTCCCACATTTTACAAATGAGAACAGTTAAGCTCAGAGAGAGCAAGTGGCTGACGCAGACTCGCCTCGTCAGTGTCAGAGCTGGGTACAGACTCAGCCCTCTCACACTAGTCTAAGAAAGCCGAAACCCAGGGTAAATGCCATTTGATAACTGGTAAAGAGTCTTTAATTCAACAAATATTTATAGCATGGGACTTTATGTCTCTGACATTGAGCTAAATGCTGAAGGCACAAGCACCAACCATCAGGCCTTTTGTTCCAATGGGTGGGAGCAGAGGGAGGGGTAGAAACCAGGGCTATTCCTGCAGCCACCCACCTACCCATCAACAAGTCTGCACTGAGGAAATACCACAGAAAGATCTGTGGCACAACGGCAGCAAAAAATAGGCACTATTCAAAAATAAACAAGAACTACAAAGTGCCTGCATTTAAAAAAATGGCAAAAGTGCATGGAAAGACCTAGAAGAAAATAAGAACAAAGAGAGACACGACGTGATCAGGAATCAAAATATTTAACATAGTGAAGAGGGTAATTCAACTTAAGTTAATCTATATTTACTTATACATTTAATATGGCTTAAAAAAACCACCAATGGGATTTCTTGTTTATTAGTTGGGCTTATGTCTTGGTAACTTGACAAAATGATTCTGAAGTTGAATTTGAAGCATAAATGTATGAAAACAAGGAAACATTGTGGCAGCATTTAAGGAATCAGACGTCCTGTGCAAATGCAGGCTCAGCTGCTTGCTCGCTATGCGCCCTTAAGCAAACTACTAAACCTAAGCCTCTGTACTGTCAGCCCTAAAAAGAAGGGAATAACAATAATATCCCTAGGACTGAGGTAAGGCTCAAAGGAGATACTGCTTATAAAGCTTGCACAGAGCAACATTGGGAGCACAGCTGCTATTTTTGTTACATTACATACTGCCTTAAATACATTAAAAAATGTCCTTTCAAGTCAGTGGCCAAAGACAGGATTATTAATAAAAGAGATGAGGAATACTGGTCAATCAATGGCAAAAACACTGTAAAATCTCAAATCTCCCTCTTATATCCTATACCAAAATAGATTTGAGATAGGCTAAATAAGTTATCATAAAAAAAGTAAAGCCATTAAAGAACTAGAAGAAAATACAGGTTAATGTTTACCTGAATAAAAAGATTAAAAATATTTTTGAAATTTAAATGAAAAATCTACCACAAACTAAATTAAAAGGGGATGACAAAATGGAAAATCAAATCACATTTATGACATGTTAATAACCTTCATCTATAGCAGGCACTAATAAAAGAGGAAAAATCCAATAGAAATAGATAGAACTCCATTATCACACGATTTTATGTGTGATAAAATTGACAAAGGTTTAAAAATACAATTTAAGGAAATAGTGAAATGGATACACACATAGATATATTATAGGTGAGATTATAAATTGGTGTACTCTACTTCTAAGAATTTATTTACATCCCCCCCCCCCAAAAATCAGAGATGCATACAAAAATATATGTCCAAGAATGTTCGCTCTAGCCTTCTTAATAAAAATGAAAAACCTTGAAACAACTAAAGGACCATAAAAGGGAACTGGTTACATACTTTATGGTTTATCCACATGTTGGGATATGAAGAAGCTCTTTAAAATTTTAGAAGAATATTTAATGATGTGAGAAAAAAATGCTATTTTGTTATATAAAATAAACTAAGTTTTTTAACACAATCAAAGCAACTATTAATACTACTTTCACTATCACGACCATTATGCTTTTCCTCCTTATCAATGACCTGGTTCTGCCACAAATCGAAAAGCAAATGTAACTAACCAGGATAAAGCAATGACAGCAGTGTGTGCTGTCCCCCATGGGAGCACAGAGGAGGGGCATGCAATTAAACCAGAGAGTCAGAGACAGCGTCTTGGAGAGGTGACAAGTAGCTGCATCAGCAGAGCAAAGGATGATCGGCCTGGCCGGTAACTACACTGGTCAAAGCCCAGGTAAAGAGAGGGGAGCATGTACATGAACACAGAACCGCAGAGGCCCGGGAAAGTGTGGAGAAGGGCCCTCCCCTGCCAAGCCCATGGATGCATACTTCATCCTAAAGTCCACAAGACACTGTCACCAGGGAATGACACGATGAACCTGATGTTCTTACAAAGATCACTCGAGCCACGGTGTGGGATGGATTAGAGGAGTTAACCCAGTGATGGGAGTCTGAATCCAGGCTGAGGCAGCGGGATAGAAAATCGGGGATGGATTTGAGAAACATTTTGAATCATGAGGGTTTTGGGACCCTCTGAATATATGGGGAGGGAAAGAGAAAATTATAAATGATTTAGCATTTTCTGGACAAATGCTTGAAATTAGGTTTATTATCATTTGTGAGTTTCAATTATTAATATGGAATTTATAATTGACTCCTTCCAAAGCACTTAAATATACATCATGAAAAATTGTGACTAATGTCCAAAAAGGTGGCGACTCACTTGAAGCTTGCCCAGTGGTAAGTCCTCATCTCTAAAAACCGGCAGACGACCATGCCCAGCCAAATGCCGCCACCGTTGCATAACAGAATGTCCAGAATGACTTGATCCCACCAGCACTCGGCAAAATTAGGCAGAAGATGCATGAAGAAAAGCTGAGAAACACAAGAGACCATGGTTGGAAAAATAAACAAAACTGGGTACCGTGAAGAAACATACATTTCCTTTTAGTAATGCACTGTTTTGGAAAAAGTTGTTGACATTTCATTATTTCCTAATGTATAAAAAAAAAAAAAAAAAAAAACTTCAACAATAACAGAGTCTGCAATCTGGTACTTGGTGGATGGTTTGTAAACAACATTTATCCAAATAACTATTCTTTCTTTGACATAAGGCTTTTTAAAGAAATAAGGGTCTCTTTTAAAAAATACTACCAATGAATTCCCTTGGCTAACAATAACATAACCAGGATCTGGGAGGAGAAAAGGAGAAAAGTTTTCATGCCTGAAAACAAAGCAATGGAATAATCCTCAACATTAGCAGCTTGGGAATTCAAGTTGCACATTTCAGAAGTATCCCACAGGTAGAACAGTGAGTAAACCATGAAAGCAGAAAGGTTACATGATGTAAGAAACATGACAGCTTAACAGGAAATATCACACTAACCAATTAACCGTAATGATGATCTTTTATTAAGTGCTGTGATGTGCAAGGTGGTGAGAGAAAAAGGAAGTCAAGGGTCTTGATCGCAAGGGGAGGGGTCAGGTGTTTAGCCAGATAACCAGAACCCCAAAATACGGTAGACTGAGGCAAGTGTTACAATGGTGACATAAATGGAGTATGGGGGGGAGACAAAGCAGATTCATTCTGATGGGGGGCAGGTGGAGAAGGATTCTAGAAGGAAGGTATGTTGGAGCAGGAACATTAAGGACAAGAATGACTGACTTCAAAGAGACAGAGATAAAAACGAGGACGTTCCGGGAGGGAGGAACAGTGAGATCAAGGGTGGAACAGAAGACTCTTGGAAATTGTTCTGCCCAAATCCAAGAGCGTATCAGCTGGGCCCAGAACAGCATGCTCTGCTGTGTGAGGCCCAGTTTAAGAAGGTGAAATTACAGAGACAATGCTGGGAGTTCTCTGGAAAGAGACTAGTCTGAAATTACAAACCTTTGAAGTAATATAATAAATACTGCAAAGATAAAATGGTATTCATGAAAGCATTTTGTAAACTACAAATAATACATAAATATGAGGAATTTTTCTTCTTAATGTGCCTGCTGCTGAGAAGCTACAGAAGAGCTAGTGCGTGTGATGGCCTGTGGCTTCCTTGTCACTCCAGGTGGGCTGGGCACTACTCCTGAAGTGTGTCCCAGGCCCCAAGCCACAAGACAGAGCCTTAACTCTTGCCCTTAGACAGGAAACAAAGAAACTTCAACGCCACATATTTGCTGAAACAAAGCTATACAAGGGAGTGGAGCGTGGAGGACATCCTTCAGTCTAGGAGCTTTCTTGGAAGGTACCAGATGCTGGGGGTTAGATGGGCCCCAGGGAGACCCCAGTCCAAGGAGCTGGAGGGGGCCATGTTCCTTCGTTTACAATGAATTTGTGGAGCATCTGCCGTGTGTAAGGCAGAGCCTTTGGGTCTGGGAACAGACATGGGCCCTGCCCCCTCAAGGCACAATGTTTAGCAGAAAAGATACACTTATCAAGTATGTAACATGTGATGAGCATTTCAAAGGAGAAGGGGGGCAGTGCCCTATTTCCAGGGGTATGAACTTGGAGACGCCCCAGTGGAAAGGCTCTATGGGGTGGGGCTGTAGGCAGGAGCCAGCTAACCTGGGTCTCATAGGCCAGGTCAGAAGGATGGATTCACTTTTAAGAGTAATGGACAGGCCGGGCGCGGTGGCTCACGCCTGTAATCCTAGCTCTCTGGGAGGCCGAGGCGGGAGGATTGTTTGAGCTCAGGAGTTCGAAACCAGCCTGAGCAAGAGCGAGACCCCGTCTCTACTAAAATTAGAAAGAAATTAATTGGACAACTAAAAAATATATAGAAAAAATTAGCCAGGCATGGTGGCGCATGCCTGTAGTCCCAGCTACTCGGGAGGCTGAGGCAGGAGGATCGCTTGAGCCCAGGAGTTTGAGGTCGCTGTGAGCTACGATGACGCCACGGCACTCGAGCCCAGGCAACACAGTGAGACTCTGTCTCAAAAAAAAAAAAAAAAAAGAGTAATGGACAAACACTAAAGAGCTCTGAGTAGGAGACAGACTCGATCTCATGGAGGTGGAGAAGATTGCTTTGGTAATATGTAGCACGAAGGGAAAGGATGAGCATTCAAAAGGGAGATAAGGGTAGGTTTGATACAAGTGGGAACACTGACGAGACTTCCATGGGCTGTGCAGGTGTTTAAGAGTCTATGAGACGTGGAGACCAGGGGACGTGGGGGAGCAGGGAACGAAGGTACAGAATGCCCAGTCCGCAGTGTGAGCAAGGCGGAAGCAAGCAAGGGAGGCTGAGAGAGGCCAGGCACCTCGCACAAGGTCATGCAGCGGCCAGGTTGTGACGACTTGTGGAATTCAGAGCTGGAACGTGGTATGAGGGTAGGAATGTGGGAGTCACGTCTGGAATAAGGAAGCAAGTCTCTGAGTTCCCTCCTCAGCACAACCAGAACATATATACAGCACCTTTCCTGGTTATCGTGAGGATTTATGACAAAATATGAAACGTGTTGGGCACTACTAAGGATGGGTTGAGCTGTGTCCTCACAATCCTTCAGAATGTGAACTTATTTGAAAACAGAGTCACTGCAGAGGTAATTAGTTAAGATGAGGTCACACTGGAGCGGAGTGAGGCCCTGATCCAGTATGAATGGTGTCCTTACAAAAAGAACACCACGAAGATGCAGCACGCACAGGGAGAATGCCGCGCGAACGTGACGGCAGAATGAACAAGCCAGGAACAACAAAGCCTGCCAGCAAATCACGAGAAGCTAGGACAGAGGCCTGAACAGGTTCTCCAGAGCAGTCTTCAGAAGGAACCAACCCTGTCAACTCCTTGATGTCAGACCTCTAGGCGCCAGAAATGTGAGAGGCACGATAACAGCAGCGACAGCTGACTGGCACACTTCTCTAAGTCAGGGTCAGGACAGTGTCAAGAAACATACTGTGCTTGTGGCCAAATTTTGTTCTCCGGGAATAATTAACTAAGAATAATACAAAAACTGAACAACAAAGAATTAGCTCCCCAAATTTCATTTTGCTAACAGTTTTTCAATACCACATCTCTTCCATTAATTAAATGAGACAAACTTTTGATTACTGACACATTGGCTCTTTACTGGGACTCTATTTCTCAGCGATAAAATATCCTGGATGCTCTTATAATTCTCGACACCACAATTCTAATTATCTCAAACTGGAATCCAGCTAGTGGGTAAACCCACCTATTGAACTCCAAACAGATCTCCTCGTTCCCATTACTTGTCTTACTTGCGATTTTAACTTCATTCTTTAGCTTTATTTCATTTGTTTCTCTTTAAATCCTGGGGGATAGAGGCACACTTTATCAAATTAACAAGGAGGTTCTTCTGTTTTTTTTTTAAACAAAAGTATAATATATTCTTATGGGATGGCTGAAATACAGTTTTGTACCACAGGGGCTGGAAATTGGAGAAACTGTTAACAGACCGTCTTCTTCCCATGTACAAACTGTGTGCACTGTCCAGTCTGGGTAAGCCCAGGGCCCCTCCTTACCTCGGTTAGCTCCCAGGTAATGCTGATTGTCCAGCAGAGACCGTAACTACGGATCAGCAAGGCCTTCATGGCCCAGCCCCAGAAATGTCCAAATGCGAATATATCAAAGTGGCTGATGATCCTCTCCCAGGTGATAACGTGGCAGTTCACAGCATATTCCTATTTAAAATAAAAAGGGGAGTAATTAATGACACTCTAGAAGTCAGCTTGCTTCCAGGATTCTAACAGTAAATGAAAAGAACAGATATGACCTTGCAAACTAATCTATGTCCTGCTCAATAAAAAAAAAAAAAAAAGAATAACTTAAGAGCCTTGAGGAAAAATGGACAAGTATTAGAGTTTATAAATCAGAATTGCTTTGCTCTGAATTGCAAAGTTTGGGTTAAAATGGGAAGCCAAATAATTGTTCGACACATCTTAAAGAAGTGGTATCACACAGACCAAGTCATCTGACCACAGAGTAACTGAGTTAAAGCCAGTAACAAAAACATAAATAAAAGAATCTCAATAGATTTGGAGATTTAAAAACATATTTCTAGATATCATGGATTAAGGAAGACTTTGTAATAGAAATTTTAAAAATATTCAGTACTAATGGAAATGAAAATACTCTATATCAAAATTGATGGGATATGGTTAAGCAGAACTTAGAGGAAAATGTACAGCTTTAAATAGTTATACTAGAAAAGAAAAAAAGCTGAAGCATCCAACTTCAAAAGTTAGAAAAAAACAAAAGAACCCTCCACCTGAAAATATAGCAGTCTACATAATTTAAATATTAGAAAAATTGTGTAACAATCTGGATGGAACTGGAGATCATTCTCCTAAGTGAAATATCACAAAAATGGAAAAACAAACACCACATGTACTCACTATTAAATTGGAACTAACCGATGAGCACACATGTGCACAGAGGGAAGTAAAACTCAGTGGGAAGCAACTGGGGCCCGGGAGGGGAAGAAACCAACCTAACGGGTACTATGAACATTACTTGGGTGACAGGCACACCTATAGACAGGACTCAAGCATTACAAAAACGATTCATATAACCTAAAACATTTGTACCCCCTTAATATTCTGAAATTAACAAAAATAGAAAGAAAATTTTGTAAATGGAGAAAGGCAAGAACAAAAGTGGTCAAGTTTTTGAGGTCTTTCTTAAGAAAAAAGAAGGCAGCTGAAAGAACATAAAACTGATTAAAAATAGGCCTGTACACCTCAGCCAATCTATATGAACATATGGTTAAGCACAATAAAACTAATTTCTATTAAAAAATAAATATTTTAAAAATTACAAAGCTTTTGAGAGTTTTGAATCCATTTCTTATATTTTTGTTTTTTAATATGATATATATTTCTAAGTAATTTAAAATCTTGTATTTCAGCAGTTACTATGAAAGTAGTCATATGACTATGTGACACTATGATAATATGACACTTACCAGGAATCTCTGCATTTCACATCCTTTCTTCCCAAAATTAATCTGATAGGAAGTAGTAAGAGTGGGAAAATATCCACCAATTATCAGCCAGCTAGAAGAATTCCTATAAACTATACTAATTTTAAAGTCTAGAAATGCTACTTTCTAAGAGAGTAAAAGAGCTTCTCTGTCTCTTTCTTAACCCACCACACCAGATTTCCTTCTCAGATAAAATACATTTCAATTTCCAAAGCTCAAGAGACTTTTTTTCTAAATTCTACTTTTTGAGAAGCAAGTGTGTTGTGATATTATGCCATGTAAGTGGGAAATCTGGAGAAAGGAGAACAAAATTCAATAAGGGTAAGTCAAGATAAGGCTTAAAAAAAACCAAAGTGCCTACAGTAAGATGAGAATTCTCTTCCCAGACTCTGGAACAGCACGTTCTTGTCACAGGGAATCTCAGGCCAAGGGAGAGAAATGCCCTTGGGCTAAAGCTGATTATGTTAAGGAGAGTGGCAGCGTCCCACCAACCCCGAAGTCCTCAACCACCCTGCCCTCTCCTTCACTGTGGACCACGCCGCACATTGTAGGGCTAGATTGGGAAGGGCTGAGATTGGTTTTCAGAAGGCTACTCTTAAAGTAATCACAGCTTGAAGACAACTTTGGAGGCCTTTACACTTCATGAGAATGTATCTATGCTATGATATATGGGAAGGCACTTTAAAAGTCATAAAGAGCCAAATACATCTATTAGTGGTAGTTATTAATGAACAGATCTGCCAATTACCACCTTCACAAGACCCGGAGGCCCTGGTCCTGGGAGGGCCGTGGGGCACCAGAGTTTAATCGAGCCAGGGAGCTGCGTGCAGGCGCGACCCTGGGAACCAGGAGGACAGCTCAGAGCCGGAGCCTGGAAAGGGGGCCGAGCGGGCAGGGGTGTGCCTGAGAGTGAACAATAAGCAAAGACAAACTGCCAGCTGGTTCTCAGCCTATCACGGTGGCTCTACCCTCTCCCTCCTTGCTCCCCACCTAACCAAATGCCAAGTCCTGTTCATTTTACCTCACCAAGTTTTTCTTTCATCCATCTCGCTGACACTAGTATTTCTTGCTTTGACTACTGCAATAGCTTTCTAAAATTGTGAAATGAATGTGTCAGGCATACAAAGTATAGATGACGCTATTATAAGCACCTGGCTACTTGCCTCCAGCTTAAGCCTACAAAAAGATCCCGGAGATCATATTGAGGTTGTGTGTGCGCACGTGTGCGTCTGTCTGTGTACGTGCGTGTCTGGAGGTGACGGTGGTAGGGTAACACGCTTTCCCAGTGTAGAAGGACCTGTACTGCTGCACGCTCTGGGCTCCCAGCCCCTCTCTCGCTCACTCTTCTCTGGGGGAGTTGCTGACTTTGGAAGAAGAAAGAGCTCCAACTTCTTTTGGGCCCTTTGGAAATTACTTGCCACAGACAGCACAGGTTCCCGTCTGCTCCTTCACCCACGCAGAAATCTTTGTGGGTCAGGCCCTGCCTTGTGGAAGAAACCTGTGGTTGTCCAGCGGGCCAGGAGAGGCCAGACCTGCCCAATTCACCCTGGGCTAAAACCAGCTGCTCCACTGAGCTTTTTTTTTTTTTGAGACAGAGTCTCACTCTGTTGCCCGGGCTAGTGTGCCGTGGCGTCCTAGCTCACAGCAACCTCAAACTCCTGGGCTCAAGCGATCCTTCTGCCTCAGCCTCCCGAGTAGCTGGGACTACAGGCATGCGCCACCATGCCCGGCTAATTTTTTCTATATATTTTTAGTTGTCCAATTAATTTCTTTCTAATTTTAGCAGAGACGGGGTCTCGCTCTTGCTCAGGCTGGTCTCGAACTCCTGAGCTCAAACAATCCTCCCGCCTCGGCCTCCCAGAGAGCTAGGATTACAGGTGTGAGCCACCGCGCCCGGCCTTCCACTGAGCTTTTACAGCAAGACATTTTGAACTCTTTTTTTGTTGTTGTTTCCAAACTCAACTAGAGATCAGGGTATTATTGATTGACCCTTAAAACATCAATGCAGATCATGTAGCTCCTCTGCTTATAAACCTTCCATGTCCTTTTACTCCATTTAGAATAACACTGAAACTCTCATCCCACTGGCCCAGCCTTGGCAGCCCCCTACCTCAGCGTGGCACTCGGCCTCACAATTCCTACACCCCTTCAGCTACAGTCCCAGCTCCTCCACCAGGGCTGCCAGCCGGCTGTCCCCTCCACTGGAATAATGGCCACAGCCCCTCCCCCCACTTTGCCTGGCCAACTCCCACTCACCTTCGAGTTGTCATCTTACACATCAGCTCTTCATGGAGGCCTCCCCTCATCGCCCAGATCAGATTAGGTCCCTTTTATAAGTTCTAATAGCACCCTCCTTTACATACACTGCAACCACAGGTAATGATCATGCTTTCTCGACTCTGACATGCCTTTTTCACACTGTATTATTTTAAGAATTAGGATGAATATTTCAATATATTACAATGTATGGTACTTTACAAGGTTTCCTTTTTTCTCCTTCCAAGTCATACCTATAATTAATGGTGCATCTTAAAATGGATATTGACCTGAACCCACAATCAATTTTGATGTTATAAAAAGAGATCATACGCCTCCTACTGGGACACAGGGCACCAGCTATGAAGCAGTCCCACCACAAAAACTGATCTGGAATCTGGAATCCCATCCAGCTTCCAGTTTATAGGAAATACAGGGGGACAAAGAGACACACTAAGTGATGACACTGCAAAATGCAAGCTGCAAAATCCAGGTGTGAAAAGCCCTATAGAATAACCAATATGGTTTCTTCGACAAATAAACTTTCAGGAAAGGTTTGGTGGAACTACAGATTAAAAGAGGTTTAAGAGATGCGTCGAATGAAATGTGTAGACCTTGTCTGGATCCTATTTTGAACAAATCAACTGTACAAAACATCTATGAGGCAAGTAGAGAAATGTGAACATTCACTGCATACTGTTCACTGTTAAGTGGTTATGTTAAAAAAAAAAAGTCCATATATTTTAGATCTAATGTCCAAGAACTGTTTCAAATTAATCCAGGATGTGGGGTGACAGGAGAAACAAGACTGGGCATGTGTCCACTATGCTGAAACTGGGTGATAGGCACGTGGATTATAGATTCTCTATCTTGCTATGTTTAAAATTTTCCAAATAAAATTGTAAGAAATCACTGAAGTTATCTTACGGTTCAATAGCCAATAATTATTTGTTTAATTTGTCTTCTTGTAGACTCTAAGCTCCAAGACGACAGGGAGTGTGCCTACCTGTCCCAACCCGCCAGCATGGTGTCTGGCATGTAGGAAAATCTTGATCGGCATTTGCTATGCAAAAGACTGCTCTTCAGATAACCCAACTTACATAAGAGTTGCGCTCTCAAAGCTTGTCTGAAGCTTAGAACACATATTTCTGAATACAATCAATATTTTAAAAAGTAGCAAACCTTCCAGACAATTACACAAAAAAACTGTCTCTAATAGGAGTTCAATGATCCCCGGATTCGATTTATAATATTAATTCCAAGGAAAAATTGAGTTTGAGTTTCCATGTACATTACCAGGCATGGCCTACGGTCTATCAGGATTAGGAAAGGGTGGAGGAATGGGGACAGTAGGGACCCTGGGAACCAGGGAATTACAGACCCTCTGTCCTGCATAAAGGAACCACCACTAAACAGGCCCTCAGACTGGTGAAAGATACACTTTCAGGAAGTAAAAAGTGATGGGATGAGGGATGGAGAAGACGAGGCTGTCCTAGCACCAGCTAGAACTCCAGAAGCTGAACGCAGCCTCACTCCGCTTGGCTTGGCAAGAAAGAACTAGCCAATACTTGAAAGCCAGATTTTAAAAGCCAGTTTCAGCTATTTTGAGGCTATAAGCATGACATTAAGATGTCCCTATGAGGTCACATTCCTAAGGAAGCTAGATGTTAAGAGCTGTGGTTGGTTAGACCTCCTCCCACAGGCTGTGAGAACTGGATGGACAGAGATACCCCAGCAAAGCCACCTGCAAGTCAATCTACTTTGCTATGTGAGGGCAGGGGCGTCTGTCCCCGTGGAGTTGGGGTGCTCAAAAACCCAAGAAAGATGTTTGGGAAAATATCATATCTGGGGTATCTTTCCCCCAATTTCTACTTCATAAGGCTCCTGTGTGCATCAAAGCACTTACTATTATAACTATATCCTTGAAGCACAGTCCAAAGGAAAAGTATAGGTTTGAAGCCAGAGAGATCTGTCAACTTGTGCTTTCAGTGACATATTGGCATTTTAAGCTTCTATCTCCTCCTCTGTAAAATGGTGATATTTTGCATGAAGCTTGCGTAAAGTGCCCAGCAGAATGCCTGGCAAAGTAGACAACCTACAATCAGTAACTGCTATCATCCTCACTATAACCACCGTTTTCATTATTATCATCATTATAAGCTAGTAAGTCCTTTGCCATTCTCTTCCTTGTAAGAAATACCAACACTTTTCCCCCCCGAGACCTATAAATAATTTTTGGCATTCTTATTTTTGCTTTAGGTACGGCCCTTAAAAAATTTAAAGATAAAAATCTAGGCCAGGTGTGGGGGCTCACGCCTATAATCCCAGCACTTCAGGAGGCTGAGGTGGGAGGACTCCAAGAGCTCAAGACCAGCCTGGGAAACACAGCAAGACCCCATCTCTACAAAAAAATAAATAAACAAATAAAACAAATAAATCTAGAAACATCATTTCAAGAAGGGTCTGACCAATGTCAACCATGGTGGAATAATTGGACCTTTTATTAAGTCCTTTTGTCTTATTTCTTGTTTGTCAAAGCAAACCCAGCTACAGCCCAAATGCCTAGTCTCCTTTTCTTGAGCATCACCAGGTTTTTCTTCAACCTGTACCAAATGTTAGGCATAAAAAAAAAAATTAGGAAGGAACACATTACAGTATAAAATACTGTGAAATTGTGATTCATAATAAATACATATTTTGGTCTTCGTCCTCAATTCCTGGTACAGAGCTCCTAAAACCCTTGTAATTTCCTGAGTGACAGGGTTGCCTGGTGCTTCCTTTGTTCTAATATTTGGTCTTTGACCCCAGTTCCTGACATAGTGCTCTTAATCCCTTTGGATTTCTTGGGTGATAGGAGTGTCTTTTGTTCTGAAGAGGTGACTCTCGGTAAGTTCCTGGGTAGGGCTGGTCACCAGAAGGACCAAGCCATGATGAGAATCTTGGAACTTTGAGCTCCACGCCCCATCCCCTGGGAAGGGGACGGGGCTGGAGATTGAGTTAATAATCGATCATGCCTACATGATGAGGCCTCCATAAAAACACCTGAACTATGGGGTTTGGAGAGCTTCTGAGCTGGTGAACACATCGACTGTGACAGGAGGGTGGCTCACCCCAACTCCACAGGGACAGAAGCCCCTGCCCTCAGGACCCTTGTGGATCTCGCCCTATTACCTCTTCACCTGGCTGTCCACCTGGATTCTTCATCATATCCTTTATAATAAGCTGGTAAATGTGTTTCCCTGAGTTCTGTGAGCCATCACAGCAAATGATCGGGTACAAGAACAGTGTTTTGGGATCCCCTGATTTGAGGTCAGTCAGTCAGAAGCTCAGGCGACAACCTGGACCTGTGACTAGCATCTGAATTGGGGGCAGTCGTGTGGGACTGAGCCCTTAATTTGTGGGATCTGACGCTAACTCCAAGTAAACAGTGTCAGACTTGAATTAAACTGGAAGATACCCAACTGGTATCAGAGTTGGAGAACTGGTTGGTGTGGGGAAAATCCACACATCTGGTCACAGAAGTGTTCACTGTGGGTGTAGAGACAGTTGTTTTTCCCATACCAGTAGTCTCTCCAGTAAACCCAAAATACAGAGTAGTTTTAACCAAGAATAAAATTCTTTAAATGTAGTTTAACAAAAATAATAAATGAAATGGCCTAAATCCTTATAATTGGCCTCTTCCTGGCACATGCTTGGGAAGGATCATGGCCTCAGGGGCGGAGGAGGCAGGGCAGCAGTGCTGTGCGTAGGCCGACAAAGCAGGGCTGAAGCCCAATGTGTTCAGGGCACCACGGCAGAGCTCAAAGCAGGCTTCGTAGATAATGTTACTTCATTTATTTCACAATACCGCCTGAAATAAGTATTACTGTAATATTTTCACCTTACGAAAAAAGAGAACAGGCTAACAAGGGCTTTACACAAAGTCTGACGGAGACAGAATTCACACCCAAGGCTGTCTGGCGATAACGTGTGTACTCTTCCTAGCATAGCCCTTTGCTTCATGAGAGGATTTCATTTCCCTGAACTGTATTATTTGTGGAAAAGCATGCAACTCAGCAACCTGCCCAGAGACCTAGTTTTTAGATATCTACGCAGGAAATACGGAGAAAGAACAATTCAAAATGTTAAGTCTACTACCTTCTACACCCAAGCGATTTCTGTAAGAGTCCACTGACAAGTACGTACCATGATATCTGCTTCTCTTGTGGCGTATCGAAGATTGGGATCTAGCCAATACATTAGGGATTTAACCTGCTCAAAATTCAGGAAGAGCAGGAATACCAGGAACAGGAAGTAGAGCACACTGAGTCCTGAGAGATAAAAACATGTTCAAGTTTAGGAGATCTGCAACTGCCAGCACACGACACACATTAGCCTTGCATGACACTGCTCAAACCAGACACTAATGTTGTAACACAGCCTGCCAAGACCCCTGTTACAATCTGGTATTTCCTCTGAGGAGGGAACGTAATACACAGTCCTCATTCAGGTTGAGAGAGGTCAGTGAAACTATCTCAGAGAAGACGATGCTCGGGCTGAGACCTGGAAGACCAGCAGCCAAAGAGGGTGGTGTGAGGAGTGCGAGCAACCTTCAGTAGAGACAAGGTTTGTAGGTCGGTCCCTGAAGAGAGACGTCCATGACCCAACTATGGCCGGGGCACTGGCAGAGAGGGGAGCAGAGAGAGGTGGCCCTGAAATGACAGTCAGGGCTTGGAGGCCATGGCCAAGTTTCAGATTTGATCTTACATTAAATGGGAAAATAAGATGACTGAGTTAATACTTCATGAAGCCATCTGAGTAGCCCAGAGGAGGCAAGGCTGGGTGTGGACAGCCCAGTCTGGGGCCACCTTAGAACTCCAGGTGTGAGGTTCAAGAGGTACCCAGGGACATTTAACCAAGACTCTCACTCCAGATTAGCCCTTGTAGGCATTATTTTATTGTCATATCATATCATAATTGCTATCCTAAGAATTACCCCATATTATTTTAAAAAGAAAAGTTAATACACTTTAAGAAGGCAAAAGCCTGTGCAATATATTTTAGAAAGACTAGAAAACCAATTACTAGAGGCTTTGTCATTTCTCTCTCTGCTGAAGCTATCAGAGGTAAAACGTTTATGGAGGACATTTAGACACTGTGATACAAATGACCTTGGCTCCCAGGGCCCATCCAAGCTTGGCTCAGCACTAATCTCCAGCGAGCTGCTCCAGAGGAGAGCACGCCCGTGGCTGGCATGAAAGCCACTGCAAGCACTGCAGCGCCAGGCCTTCCAACCAGTGCCCCTCTCCAGGCCTGAGGGAGCTCAAGGGAGGCCCGCGTGGAGTGTGGCCAGCCCCCAGTCATGCATCCCAGAGCCCAGAGAACACACGCTTTTAGGTACATTGCTACGAGAACCACCTAGATGTGCACTTATGCAGCAGCTGTTTTTACAAATCTTCACCTTAAATGCCCCCTACTACATTTTTAAAAAATTATGATCCTTTTGAAATAACTACTTTAAGACAGAAAGAAAGAGTCTGTCGCACAGGGACTCTTAAACCGTAGTTCTTGGCTGGGCTCTGAGGTCTGTGAAGCCTAGATACTACATGCAGAATCGTAGTATCTGGCGTACATGGGCATATATATTGGAATGGGTCTATGGGCCTCATCAGATTATCAAAAGGTATCATGTTTCCAAAAAAGGCAAGAAAAAAAAAAACCTGCTCATTACCTAAATAGGTCATTTGAAATAGGAAAAACTCTAACTTACAACTTCAAGCAGCACTATTAAGTCCATGGGATGTAAGTATGATACAGCCAGGACTATCTTTTTAAAAATGTAAATGTAATTACGTCACTCCTCTGGGAAAAACCCTTCCACTGGTCTTCATGTCCCTCCTTACCCTGGCCCGCAGCCCCCTGTGATGCTGTTTGGGCCCAACTCCATGACCAGGCTGTTACTATTCTCCCTGGGTCCACTACACTTGGGCCACACTGGCCTAGAACACACCAAGTGTTTGCTAGCTGTGGGGCATTTTAGTAGTCTTTCCCTTTGCCTGGGTCCTCCCCTCTGCCCCAGTCTTTGCAGGCTTAGACCCGTATTTGCATGCCAGTTTCAGATCAAGCACTACTCCCTCACGACTCCCCAGCCACCCAAGCACTGTCACTTCGCCCAGCTTTCACTAGCATCCCAACACTTCGTGACGCCTGATATGTTTAGATTATTGATTTGTGTAATAGTTGGTTTACTAGCTGTCCTCCCTCCCTGAGTAGAAGGGCAGCTCCTGTCTGTCTGGTTTTCCCTGGTAGCCTCCGGCCCAGGGCAGCACCTGCACAAAGCACACTCAGTGAATTGTTGCTGAGTGAAAGCTCACCAATAAACGCAAAAACATTAAGAGTTACCTAGGAGCTCGAAGGCTGACAGAAAAATAGGCAGCCTTTAGCAAAACACTCATTTTTCAGAATCCTTGTACATTTTTACATAAGATTACATTTTTTACATTTTCCAAACTTAAAATAATTTACTTGATGTCTTGTTTAGGCAAGATGAAGCCAATATCCAAAGTTTTGAAGATTTATTTTAAATCCGTTCAGGCAATTTGACTATTTGGACTACAAAATCAAGTCAAAATAAGATATCCAATATTTATACGCTATCAATAAACCTTAGTCCAAATTAGGGCTCTGAGTCAGAAGACTCCCCCCGTTTCCAAGTTCTTTCCCATTCATAACATTGAAGAACTTGAACTGCTGGGTTTTCATTCCCTTCTGGGTGCTGACAAGACAAATGTGCTCACAGGAGGCACTTGAGCTTGCACTGGCAAAAAGCAACGTGAAGATGCATAAAGGAAAACAGGCGATATTTGCTTAAGTAAAATCCTGTGTACATTAAGAGATAACAGCATAAGAAAGGGGCATAAGAAAGTGGAATTGAAACAGTTCACAGGCAAGAGAATTTAATATTTTATTTTGTGTCAAAGAATTTTAATAGAAAATTTATACTAGGAACACAAAAAAGTAAAAAGCTTTTTACATAAAGTTTTAAAAGTAAAATGGTAAGTAAAAGTGCTATTAAAGATATGCAGAAAAAAAGATTTTTAAAAGTAGAACATACTTTTACATCTACTAATGGAAACTCACCAAAAACCATTCGCCATAAGGCTGGATGAGGCCGAGTGAAGGGACCTGCAGACAGATGACAGCACAAAGTTAGAACGAACTGGTTTCGGAGGAGGCGCAAACTAAAGGTGCTATTGATCTCCATATAGAGAAGGGTAAGAAAAAGCTTTCTGCTATTATTATTATTTTTGCTACATAAATACTTTGAGGTCCAAGTCTAGGTTGATATGTTTTCTCTACATTGTTACAACTGTCACCACAGTCATCACAGGCACCCATTTCTACAATAGAGATTTTTTTTAAGCTTCGTCTGTAGCAGTCAGAACATAATTTCCCAGGGAAACAATGTTTTGACAGAGAGTAGGTCACCAAGCTAGCCTTTGAGTGTGTATAATACACATTGCACACTAACAAGTGTCATTCCCCAGCTGCCCAGGTGGAAAGAGGGTCTGGACAGCCCAGCTTTGTGTGTGTGTGTGTGTGTGTGTGTGTGTGTGTCAGAGAGTGACTAACTGAAAATGAAAGAGGAGAGAGAGGCACTGCTTTGAATACAAGCAGGGTGAGTTGAGACGGGAGCAAACCCCCTGAGCACTGGAACACACCAGTACAGTGGTGTCTCATTATAACCTGTGGTTAGAAAACACCTCTGACACGGCTACCCGGGTCAGGTAGGGACGCAGATTCCATACAACTGAAAAAAGTTTCACTGGACAAAATGTATCCTTACTATGAGTGATACACCAATACTTTCTATTTCATTAAAAAAGCAGAAGAAAGCAAGCGGGGCTCTGACCCGCTAATGGATTTACCACTGACCGAAGGGTTACAACTTGCAAATATGGGAAAGTACTCTAGTAGGTACCTATTCTGCTTGGGGCTGCCCACATCTTTTGAACAGCCTTCCTACACTTAGAGAATTTCCAGTGTTATGAATTCCACATCCCCGGGGGGTGCCAGAGCTTGTTCCCAGCCTTCTTTATAGCTAGGGCTCGTCTGCAGTTGCACTGGTGCCAGACTTGGCCTCAGGAGCTGGTGAAGGTAGAAGGAAGTGGGCAGAGCTCTCCTCTCTCTCTCTCTCTCTCTTTCTCCAGCCCAGGCCAGCAGGGGCAGTAGTGGATGGTGATCCTCACACTAAGGTGGCACAGGGGATCACGGCAGTGGCAGTTCCATCAGAATCTGCTGCAGAAGGGACAGTGGGGCAGACTATAGCCAATGTGCCCTGGGGCGTCCTCCTTAGACCAGTTCTAGGGGTGGTGCCTGCTCCTGGAAGCTCAGCCTGCAGCCTAGTCCTTATGCCCTCCTACAATTAACAGGCTCTTTAGTGAGCAGCGACAGCTTCTGTTGCTTGCAACTTTGCATCCTGTCTGGGCCAAACATTACATTGCAATTTTTATTCTGGAATTCACTCTAAATATCACCTATATCTTTTCAAAAAGATTACACTGAAACATATTTTAACTACTTTCTTTTGATGAATCAATTCATATTATGAAAATTAGTTACAAGTATCCTCCACCATCCAAATTTATTCAGTTCCAGAGTTTGGACAGTGACGGTTCAGAAGGTGAGTTCGGTTCGCGAGAAATTCTGCTTTTTCCAAATACGTTTGGTTCCTCAGTTTGGGATGGCAGGTGGTGAGAGCTCAGACGGTTAGGGATTTAGTGAAAATTTCATCCAAATCTGTTTGATTTCTAAGTTCTGACAGTGAGGGCTCAGACGATAAAGAATACCTGCACTCCTTCTCGATCAGCTGCTCTTTTCTCAGAAAGTCCTAGTGAAGCATATAAACCAGAATCCCCTCCCGAGTAACACAACATGGTCACCTTTTGTCAAAAGTCATTGGGAAACTGATGCCTAAAATTGTCATCTTTTAAGTGATCTTTTGTCCCAAATGCTCTTCTTTCCTGATGTTAGGTGATAGCTCTTGAACTTGTCACGGTGAATGACTTCTGCATCATGTGGCTGCCTGGCTCGCAAATATTGCTTCATCAACACCATTAAACCAACCTTTTGGACATAACATGGGACCCCAGCTTTCACTATGGTTTCCTCTTGTAAGGTTCAACTCCAAAATTTTATGACCTATTATTTGGCTTGCAGCAGAATTCTATGCCAAATCAACACTTAAAATCACATATATAGTGTTATTCTCAAGAGCAATGATAATGATAGGAGTCCGCAGTACTTTCCCAAGCATGTACTGTGCACCAGACTATGGAAGGAGACACCCCCCACCCCCCACAGTATCTCTTAGTTTTCCTGAGGACTCAGTGATAAAGGTGCCTCCATCATTCCCACTTTATAGACCGGAATACTGAGGCAGAAGGAACTTGCCCAGGGTCATGCAGATCACAGGATCCCACCTCAGCTCTGTCAGATTCTCATGTCCCCAGGCTGAGACTCATGTGGACCACCTGTGGACTCTCCTATAAACTCTACCAGAACAGGGCTGGCTCAGGACGAGGGGGATTCAGAGCAGGAAACCGAGGGTTGCGCCAGGCCTGGTTCCAGGGCCAGGAGAGTGAGGGGAGAAAACAAGCTAGGGAAGTGCAGAGTTGGTGCAGAAGGAGGCAAAGGGATGGCAGGGGGGCTACCACAACATGGAATTGAAAAGCTAAGTGAGGGCAGGGAACTGATGCCTCTAGTGTGGGAAGCCAGGGACTGTCATGACCCAGGTGAGGGGAATCACTGGTATCTTTTGCCTACAAAAGTGAGATAAGGGCCTGGAACGTAAGGCGACCCTTTCAGTAACTAACTTCAAAACCCAATCTAGGTTTTATCTCAGTCAACAAATCTGCCTCCCCGCCAAGTGTGAGGCTTGTCACAACTGCCCACGGCCTTCGGAAAAGAAACCACGAATTTTTTTAATGTAGTATTTAAAAAGTACCTTCTAGCAGCATTACTCACCAAGAGTACCATCTTTACCATCCCAGACAGCAATATTGCTAAAAATATGATTTTATTTTTGAAAAAAATTGAGAGTGAGGCTGGCATTTTCTAGATTATAAACCTGATGCTCATGCTCGCCAGGTCACCCGCACTGGCTACTCCAGCCAAGTCACCTTGGAGGATCCTGAGGGTGTGTCTGTATTGGGGGTGGGGATGCACCGGAGGATGAGCGCCCCCTTCCATAGCACCCATGCCCGGCATGGCAGCACTGCCCATCCCATCTGCGAACACTCACTTCATCTCAATGCTTCCCCCCCCACTAACTTGATTTCCCGACAGACTATTTTCTCAGTGGCCTTGTAAAGGTGGGGTTCCTTTTCTCTCTCTCTGACTATTGGTACAGTTCTGAGAATAACAAAAGGGCTCCACCTCATGGTGTGCTTTCCACAGGGAGTTTCTGCTTCTTATCTATATTTCATATCTGATTTGATAAAAGCTGCCTGGCAGAGTTTCGATCCTTGGTTCGGCTACTCACGTTCTGAGTTATGCTGGAGAAATGGGGAAGTTATCTTAGGCAGAGATGCAGAAATCAACCGTTTTTGTTCTAGATTGTAGCTTTCTTAAGAGGCACATTTAAAAACTATATCAGTCCCTCCATCTAGAATACATAATTATCAGATATTAACAGCAAGGTTAATTTCAAAAGAAACAGAAACCAAATGTCTTCATCATGAGAAGAGCTAGCATTTAAAAAACTAGCTTAGAAATTAGAAAATAAGATCATTGCTTAACTCGCCAGGAAAAGTCGCACCTATGAAAAATTAAGTTCAAGGGACTTAACCTTAGGGAAGTATAATTCTTTTAACACAAATCAGAAGTCACCTGTCCAACAGCCACACACTGTATCCTTGGGCCAGAGGCCCAAGGTTAAAAAAAAGATTGTCTCTAAGCAAATTTGAAACCGAAGAAAAAACATTTTTATAAGAAAAAGTAGTGAAGCAGAGGACAGAAGATTGGGAGAGAGAGGAACTTTTCTGCTTTTTTTTAATTTAGAAGATGGTGAATCTTCTGGATCACTTTCAGATATCAAGGAGACATGATTACCATTAACTTTGCTCAGAGAAGTCAAATGAGGAGGAAGGACAAACAGAATGATAAACTCAGGGAAATGAAAAAATACTAGTAGTTCGCTCTTCTCAAAAGACCTCAAAGAAGTGCTGAGTGGCGTTTCTCTTGCAGACAACAAAAGGAGAAGAGAGGGCTCACTCTGTGAACTTGTTTCCCGGGGATTCATTACCTAATTCAGCGTATATTTACTAAGAGATTGCTGTGGTCAGGCCGAGAGCTAGGGATGGGGTGGGCTGGCTTGGGTAGGGCGGGTGGAGAAGGACGATGGGAGCTCTCAGAGGCGGGCAGCGCACACCAGAAGGGGCCTGTTGAAAGAAATCTCCCAGCCAACTGGAGACTCAAATAGGTTTCTAAATTTCACTCCAGTGATATGGTGGTACAGTTAAAATTACACTTACACTTGTGTGTCAGTGCTATAAAGGGATGAAGGTAGCATTTTTTAAAAGGTTTTTAAGGGAGCCAAAAAGAGAATGCAGACGAGACTAAAAGAGAAGACGGCAGAAGAGAAGCAGAATAAAGTGGACATAGATCCTCTCCTTCCCCTGGTCTCATCTTGGGGCCTCTCCCTCCACGTCTATTCATAGGATGAAGGTAGGAACCCTAGAACCTAATCCTGCCGCTCACCCTGTTGACTGTCACACAAAATTTTGTTTTGAGTGTCCACTCTTCTCTCATATAACTCAGGGGTGAATTCTAAGCCAATGGAGGTAAACTAGTCCCCTGTCATTCTTCCAGACAATAAATATCTATTGAATCTCTACTCCTCTAAGTATTATAAATTCCTGTGCTCGGGAACAAGAGACATGGGCCCAATCCCAGTCAAAAAGACGGGAAGACAAGTGTGCCCAGCAGTCTCTAGAAAAGGTTTCTTCAATCTTAAATAAAAGATGCACAAAAAGACATGATCTCTTCTGCTGGACACTGCCGGCCACTACATGCCTGGCACTGGTGGAGCAATCTGAAGATCGTCAGGGCAGAATGCAGGACCACCATGCTGAAGATGGCAGAACAGAAGGGGGCAAGGAAGCTGGGTCTTCACAGGCCACTGAGCGGCTGAATTAGCCAAGCCTGGAATTACCCCATCTCAGAATTTCTTGTTACGTAAGAAGGTAAACATCGTCCTCATTGTTTAAGCCACTTTAGAATGGGTTTTCTACTGCTTGTAGCCAAAAGCATCCTGACTGCTATAAAACCCTGCAGAGAAAGTCAAGGGCCTCCTCTGCTATTTAGACTCTACAAAAAGAATCATTGGGGCCCCTTCCTGTAGGAGTTGACCAGTTCTACCACATAGATAGTACATATGAACTCACACATCTGAGATGGGACATGCAGACACAATCAAACTTAGGCCTCTATGCAAATGTGCAAGGCAGCCTTTACTAGGTCAAGGACAAATGCGTCTGAAGTTGCCAAAACGGAATCATTCTGGGCATGCTATCCACGACGGGCACTTTCCCAAAACTGCTTTTGAAGGAGAAGGCAAGTTTGGGGCTCTGTTTCTCCATTCATTTTCATTAACTAATTTGAGAATACGTGCCAAGGGTGGGGAGAATGGAAAAAAGGTGACGAGACTGGGGCGAGCAGAGGCATGTATACTCCACCCAGAGAAGCAGCCATTCAGCAGCGGGCCCCTGGGGAGGCCGGTCCTCTGAGAGCTGGCTCTGAGAGGAAGACCACACTGCCCCGGAGCACCCTTCCCTGGGGCCCACTGCTCCTACACCTCCACTGGCACCTCCCAAAGCCGTCCCTGATTTTAAACTATTCAATAACATTCTTTCATATGGAAAAGTTATAGTTTTACTAATCTATGCAAAGTGTGAATAAACGGATCTTTAGAGAACAACCTAGGTAACACAATGTGTTTGCTATGTACACAGGACTTTAAGAGAATCCCATAAGTCCTCTCTTCCCTGACTAATGTCCCAGTCCCTCCTATAGGACATTGAACTGCCATTGTTCTTTTCTCTACCTATCTGAAATCTTATTTTTGGCATGTTCTGCCTACTGATGAACATGCATGGGTGGAGGGCAAAGGGTGGTAAGGCAGGAACAGAGTAGGAAAATGAGAAAGCAGAAGGTTCAGATCAACGTGCTAGCTTCTGCTAGTCACAGCCAACATGTGGGCAACAGAGGAGCATGGACTCAACCACCAGTCACTTTCTGCAGGATCTACAGCACACTAGGTACAGGCCAACTAAGTCCACACTCTAAGCCAGAGACTGTAAAAGAAAGAGAAACAGAAGGAAACAGAAACATATTATGCAGGAAGACCAAGTTAAAACATATCACAATGGACCTAAAATGTGAGATATGACAGAAGAGCACTGAGGAAGGAAAATGTGGAGGCGGGCCCCATACCAGGCTGACAGCAAGGGCCGCTGGACCTGGCCAGGGGTTTCAGCTTTCTCAGGGGTGGACTGAGCCGGCTGAGCTAGATGAGCTCTGTGGTCCTCCCCCCTCTGTGTGTATCACAAAGTCCACACAGCTAGGACAAGAAAAGCATAAGACAAGCTTCAGTTTCCTTTCTAAGATGAAAATAAAAGCACATGCCCACAATGAGAGATTGAGCAGGTTAAGTAAACTTTGGAGATCAGAAGACTTCATTGGGGAACAGAGAAAAAACCAGCAGAAATCACACAAAATATCATGTCAAATACATTTAATCCCCCAACCTTCAGTACCTTGGTACCTTAAGAAAAACATCTGCTAATGAAGCCCCAATACTCAGCTCCTGCTGAAGATTCACTGAAGGGATGACTGTAAAATCATGGCTCTTGAGAGACAAATCTGTTAGAATGCTCAGACTTCCAAAATAGATCTGGACTCAGAAACAGCAAGTTTAAAAAAAGAACAAAAAATAAACCTTCAAAGCCATTAAAAAGTAAGCCTTGCGAACTAAGCAACAAATAACACAGCCAATAAAAGCTGAAGACTTAAAGAATAGATTGATCCATTTGGATTGATGGGTTTCCTGAGCACATATGCACATCCAATGCTTTCACTGACTGATATGGAAAGAAAACAGAGATAGAACAGGGACAGAAGAAATAAGAAAAAAGCAGGAGTAGAGGGCACAGACCAATAATGGCTGGGGCACCCGCTGATGACTGAGAAATAAGCAGCAGACCTGCACGGGCTCCTGAAGGCAGAATGCCTGGGGCTGGGGGAGTCAGCAAACAGTCACCACCACCTGAATAGTCACCTACTCGTGTCTGTCAAGGCTCCAAAACCTTCCCTGGGGGCTTTGGTAGCAGTCAGCCTTTTGTAGGTATCTGACCTGAGATGGAGTTCACCATTGCCTTGCTTTGGGTTGTATTCTTATGCCACCTTTGTACGGAAAGGCTAAGTTCCAGAGTTCAGGGGAACTCTGGCCACTGATGCTACACCACAGCATGGCACCCTTGAAGGAGAGGACAGGCTGCATAATGCCCAAGCTCTCCTCTAAACCTAAAATGCTAATTGTGTGTTAGAGATGAGAGGGAAAGGGAAGTTGGCAAATAGCCAAAAAACTGTTTGACATCGGGGACTTTTCTTAGCAAATTCTATAGCAGGATGAATACCCCTTCGTTCTATGACCCATCCATATAATGTACATCTTGTCTTCATATTCCAATAATTGTGCATTATCGGAACCATCAATCCTCATGGAAAAGCCAAATTATCGCTGTCATATCTGTATAAGATAGGCAGGTTTTCATATATTGAAAGGTTTTCATTAAAAGATTTTTTGAATTTAAAAGCTTGAATGGTTGGAGAGCTAAATTCAGTACCCAAATAACCTGGCTTTCTGGAACAATTCATTCTTTGAGGGATTCAGAGAGTCATGGTTTCACTGGCTCAACTATTAGGCTACTATGCTATATACTATAATAAAACCATTATGTTCTTGCAAACACAGTGCTACATAAGAGAAGCAAAAAAACAAAACAAAATTCCACTACCACTATCTTGGGAAGCCTGAAAGCCTTGCCATGGAACATTTCCAGGCAGCATCCAATAACGTTCATAATCAGCTTCTTATATTACACATGACAGTCTACTAAATAGCACAGGAGGATACAGGAGAAACAGATCTTAAAGGATGACATTTAAAACCTGAGTAGGGACCATGGAGCATAACCCATAAGAAAGACTGGGACATTTTCAAAATATAATAGGTGTAAAAGAAATAAGACATACAGTGAGCATTTAGAAATGGTTATGGAGAACAAGCAGAGAATAGTCTAGGGAGAAGGTACTGAAAGGGACGAAGAAATAAATCAACTAGCCAGGCGTGGTGACACTCCTATAGTCCTAGCTAGGAGGCAGATGCAGGAGGATGGCTTGAGCCCAGGAGGTTGAAGTTGCAGTGAGCTGTGATGGTGCCATTGCACTCCAACCTGGGTAACAAAGCAAGATCCTATCTCAAAAAAAAAAAAAAAAAAAATCAACTTTTAATAAACAATTCAGATTCAGAGGAAAGAGATGAATTGTGAGCACAGCAGAATACCAAACTTGCTTCCTAAACAAAGGTTTGCCTCACTCACTCTATAATCATGATGGGGGGTAAAATTCACAGGAATAATTGTCAATTTTCCTGATGAAAATTCATGCTCCAAATGTGTAATCAAATGCAATGTTTATGGGGTGAAAGATCACTTGGGAGGACAATTTATTTAAGTAATACTCATTACAGCATTGACCCTGTCCTTAGCAAAAAGGAGTAGTAGCACTAACGGAGTATTGTACGACTCACTGATAATTAATAAATTAATTAATAAAATAATTAACCCTCACAACAGTACCTCCCTGTTATCTCCATTTTCAGAAGGAATCAGAAGCACTCTTAATGACTAGGGGGCATCCCTAGGGCCACAGGGCTGGCAAGGGGCAGAATGGACAGTCTGCCTCCAGAGCCCGTGCCCCAACCACTACAGTTTATTCTCTCACTCCATCTTCCAGCTTCATCTTCTAGATGACGCGCACCTCGAAAACAAACAAACAAACAAAAAAACCCCCAGAACACCAGAAGGAGACAACACACAGGAAAAATGTGATAACGCATTACATTACTTACCATTGGGGAAAGCTAACACACTGATGATTAGAAAGAAGAAAATTACAGAGAGGATTCCTCTCCAGATGTTGTCTTCTGGAACAGAGTCATCCCTGAAAACAGAAAATACAACTGAGTATTCATTTTCAGATCTAAATCAAAAACCTAGAAAGAGCAAGATTTTCCTGTTCTAAAAACTGGAGGACTGCTAGATCTATTTTGCTAAGCAAAATTACACACACTACTTACTATTCACTGTCTTTCCTACAATCATACATCTCATGACAAAGTCCAACTCTTACAAGAAAGACGATTGCCAACCTTACGTATCAATACACGTTATACTCAGATATGCATTTGAGAATCACTGTTCTTTAAAAAAACAAACAAACAAATAAACAAAACAACCCCAGGATGTCAAAAGATAAGGTTTATTTTAGATAAATGCATTTTGGTTTTAAGAATAACTAAAGATGACCTTCACAATATAGAACGTAGCAAAGAAATGTTTCAGGAATCAGAAAAGCAGCATAAGATTATAGGGAAGAAGCAATGCAATGAGATCATCTAATCAATTCTCAGTGGGCAGATGGCCATCGAAGGGAGGCATGGGAATGGGGGGCTGGAAATGCTGGGTAATGAGAAAGCAACAGCAAAAAAAAAGTTTTAAAAAACCAAGAGAAAACAAAATACAAGAGTAAAATCAGACTAGAGGCAAAAGAATTGTAAAAACGGTAACGTGCATCTTCCTCTTGTGCCTGGTCATTTGTCTCCTCCAGAACCCCAGGGACCGAAATGACTCCATTTGCTGGTTTGCATGGTATCTGTCTTCCCCGTAGGAAGTAAACTTTTGAAGCAGGGAATTTATTCACTTGTCTTCTCAGAGCCTGGCACATAGTAGGCACTCAATAGATACTTGTGAACTGATTAGTATTAGGGAGGAAATTTATTGTGTAAAACCAAGTAAAATTTCCCACATTGGAGTTTTCTTAACATTGATACTGGAAAAGAACTATGCTTTGACAGTTCACATAAAAAAAAAGAAAAGGCTAGTAACACATTTGGAGCTCAAGAGAAGCAAATAAAAGAGGGAAAACAGAAATGTAAGATAGTAAGGAGAAGATTTTCTGAATTATTGATAATTATTGAGAATCTTGGGAGAGAGAAGTTCAACATTTCAGTTTTTAAAAAATTTAGGATGAGTAGGCAGAAAATATGATAAGGAACAAAATGGAAGCAGATATTTTAGAGGCAATGAGATTAGTGGCAATAAATGTAAAAATGATAAAAGAACTTGAGTTTATCTGGGGAACAACTGCAGTGAAAGAGCTTTCAAAAGATAAATATTAAATTAAGATTAAGCATCACTGAATAAAAAGTAAGAGGGCAAAAAGTATCTTAGAAGAAAACCAAATTTGCACAGAAAAATAATGTCAAGGATCAAAATACATAAAGAGGAGGTGTGACATGAAACAATAATGAATTACTTAGTTAAAAACTAAGTCCTAAACTGTTTGTTTAAAACAGAAGTTAATTTAGATCTCAACTTCTGTTCAGGCTGCCAAGTTTCTGCACTCAACTAAATAATTTCTAGACATATGACAGGACTGAATACAGGTTCTGAAATAAGAGATTATACAAATTATACTATGTTTCTTAGGTCATTGTATGGCCAAATAGCATTAACAAACTAATTCGGTTAACTTCATAGACCTGATTAAAAAACCAAATTACAGAATCAGACAGGCTTCAACTTCCAGCAAAGTGCAATTTTATTTTAATGGACACTCTAACAATTGAACATCTGTCCAGAGGTTATAAACGTGGTCCTAAAAATGCCAGGCTGATCATTACTAGGGTACTTGTGATGCCTTTTGGCTTAGGTAGGGAAGCCCCACATCCAATTTCCAGGAACACCACCTTTTACTGGAGAATGGCTGGCTGCACAAGAGGCACACAATGTCCCCATTCATGCCAACATCCCACTACTGATATTGGTAATGACGATGACAGTAATAATAGCGCCTGTTTATCAAGTATCTACTGTGTGCCAGGCACTGACCAGCCAATTTATAAACATTATCTCTAATAGTCACAACCAATTTGCAAAATGGGATATTCTCAATCACATTTTACAGATGAGGTAACAAAGGCTCAGGAAGGTTAAGTAACTCGCCTGAGCAGGTAAGAAGTTGCAAAGTCAGCATTCAAAACCAGGTCTGCTAGACATTGAAGTTGCGGATCTTCCCCCAAAGCCAAGCTGCCTCATGAAAAAATTATCTGTCATCCTAAATCAGTCAGACTCACGTTAGAGGCCCAGGGATGGTTTAAGAGGCTTTGACAGGGTACACAATATGTAAGTTACAAATTAAAAGCAAGGCTGAAATTAGTAACTGTTGTGTGGGAAAAGAAGGTTGTTTCCCTAACTCATCCTTTGTACTAAAATATATTCTGGATGATTTAAAAAATTAAAGGTTAAAAAAAAAGTACTAGAGGAATGATGGGAGAATTAAAAAACAAATAAACAAAAAAACCTCAAAACAAAACAAAACAAAGCAACCAACAATTATGAAGTGAGGAAGACCTTTCCAATGTATAACATAAAACCCGAAAGTCATAAAGGAAAAAAACTGATAAATTTGCATGGCAAAGAAATCAGTAATAAAATCAAAGGAAAAGTGATTGACTTGGGGAAAAAAATTGCAACTCATATCAAGACAAAGGGCTAATCTCCCTAATATACAAAGCACTTTCCCCAAAATCAATTTACAGAAAAAACAATAAATTGATGCAGAAAAACTAACAGAAAAGTGGACAAAGAATGTGAAGAATCTGTTCAGAGTAAAAAAATCCAGTTGCTTTCAGACAAATGAAAAGATGCTCCACCTCACTCACGAGAGAAGGACAAGTTAAAAAAACATGGAGACCAGTTTCTAAATCTATCTTATTCATAAAGGTAAAAATTTAATGACTGAGCTGGTGAGGATACGAAGAAACAGGAAGAGAGGCACTCTCATATACTGCTGGTGGCAGTATAAATTTAAACTACTTGAAGTAGTTTAGGGAGGGCAATTTGGCAATATATTAAATTTACAAATGCATATACCCTGTGATTCAGCAATTCTTCTGGGAATTTATTCTCCAGATATATTCTTATTTATGCAAAAATGACATATGTCCCAGGTTGTTCACTGCGACATTACATGCATTTGCAAATGATTGGAAACAATCTAAATGGGAACTGATTAAATAAATTATGGTCCAGTCTCAACCATGGTAAACCAGGCAGCCATAAAAAGAGTAAGAAAGCTTTTTAAGAATTAACTGATTTAGGCCAGGCATGGTGGTTCATGTCTGTAATCTCAGCACTTTGGGAGGCAGAGGCAGGAGGCTCGCTTGAGGCCAAGAGTTCAAGACCAGCCTGGGCAACACAGAGAGACCCCATCCCTACAAAAAGATAAAAAAATTAGCTGGAAGCAGTGGCTCATGCCTGTAGTCCCAGCTACTTGGGAGGCTGAGGCAGGAGGATCGCTTGAGCCCAGGAATGTGAGGCTACAGTGAGCTACGATTGCTCTCCTGCCTCTGCAACAGAGTGAGACTCCATCTCTTTAACAAAAAAAAAAAGATCAACTGATTCAGAATAATTTAAGAGATATACTGAAGTAAATAAAGCAAATTGCAGAACAGTGGGTATAATAAGCAACTATTTGTGCAAAAAGGAGGACATGTGTATGGAAATATAACTTACAATTTTTGCTTATAGCTGCATAGAATGTCTCCAGAAATCGACCCAAGAAACGGTGACACGGTTTTCTCCAAAGAGGAGAAACAGAGGACTGGGGAGAGGCAAGGAGGTGGACTTTTCACCACATACTCTTTGGTGTATCTTGGATATCAAGCAACGTGAATACATCATTCTTTTCTAAAACATCAATTATAATTTTAATTAAATAAATAGCTATGGCAAATCAGCGAATCAGTCTCTATTTAAAATTATCTTTTAGTTAAAATGGTTGAAAACATATCGACACTAAATTTATAACCTGAGATCAGTAATAAAGATATAAAACCAATGAAAGGGCAATTTTGTAAGTTGTGAGCAATTTTACTAGGAAAAGAGGATGAAATGGATGGCCTAATTTCAGGGGAAAAAAGGTCAATTAAACTGAATAAAATAGCAGTGGGTCTGAAAAGTTGGCAGTTTTATATTTATCTAATTAGAAAAAATGTAATAATGATGGACAGTGAGGTCTTTAGATAAACTGAAAATATACAGTACAGGAAGATGGAACTTCTGCAATCACAGATTGACAGGTGGGGAAAGGGAGCTTAAAAAGAAACTTGAGTCCTATTAGACTAGAGGCCCCCGTGCCCTACTCTAATGTGAGTTTCTGGAGAGCAGAGAGGGTGTACACACAGCACCTAGAACAGCACCTTACAAGTGGTGGGTGCACAAATGAACTGAACTCCTGACAGATGAGGATGTCTAACACCCACTGGCCACATGGCAAACTGAGCAAGCAGGGCTATTCTGTAAGGTTTGGTGTGAGTCCATCCTCTCTAAACCCCAAATAATCCAGAGATTTAACTGTACGCTGAGGTATACAGAAATTTTCCATACTTAAGCATGGAAAGGAACTCAGCTGCAAAGTCCACGCTAGTGACTCCAGAAACCCCAAATTAGGAAACAAGAACTAGTACTTGTGGACAACTGCTATGTCCTGTGCTTCACTGAGCATGCTAGCTGCTTTGCCTGTTAGCTAGCTTCATCTTCATGACACTCTAAAGGGGGAAATGATCATAATCTACATTTTACTGAGGGGGCTGGCTCCAAAGTTCAAATTCTTCCCCCTGTAGGAGGCCATACAATGTGGTGACTACATGTACAGACTAGGCTCAGATTGCCAGCCTGTGTGACCTTGGGCAGATTACTTAACCTCTCTGTGCCCCAGTTTCCTCCTCAGTAAACAGGGGATAATAATAGTTCCACCGCAAAGGGTTGTGTGAAGATTAAAAAACTTAACACGTGTAGAGCTCTTAGAACAGTGTCTGGCACAGAGGAAATGTCATTATGAGTTCATGACATTTGAATAGTTTTCGTTTATGGCCACTC